CAAGGGTGTAAATGGGCCCTGAATACGTACCTCTCATAGTGCTCGCAGCAGCATAGACAGCAGGAGAGGTGAGTATTAAAGAGGAACTACATTTAAAAAAGTGAGCAGGCAGAGGACATGTGACGTCTATTCTGCAAATAAACAAACGTGCCTGCCTGTTCACAAAGTTCTTCACAATGTACACTGAGTTGTGCATGTGCTGCTCAGTGTACATGCTCAACACACTTCTATGCTGGGAAGAATGAACTCCTGTGTGCATGTGCAGGAGTTATGTCATTTCTTGTCAGCCAAAGGCCTGGCCCTTGGAAGAAGCCAGGGAGAAGATGTTGGTGCCGGAAAGAGAGCGAGGGGAGGTGAGTAAAGTTCCGCTTTGTTTGGCTTCTTTGCAGGGGACATGTTTACTTCCACATTGACTTTGAGACTTTGACATTGACTTTTGCTTCAAGAATTTAAACCAGAGATGGGCAGTTCCAGTGTTCTGTCATATTTGCTGACCCGTTACATTTGCCGACCTACGTATCGCGCGTGGCCATGCCTCCTCCACACCGCAATTGCACATGCGCTGTATGAAAAACACACAGAAAAAAAAGCCTATATATATATATTCTAAGCGCATGTGCAAACATGTCATAAAGGTCACCATCTTCGCATCAGTTGACGCTTCCACTGAGTTCACCACACCCTCTCGTGTGGCACACTGGGTCACTCAGTCTCCCTAGTGTGACCCATTGGGTCACTTAGTGTCCCCAGAGTCCCCCAGGAAGATTGTGACCTTTATGATATCATCGCTGATGTCGGTTGGAAATACTTTTTTCATTGAACGTGTTATCAGAGCGCATGTATGCACATGCACATTAGCAAATTTGTTGAAGGCGTGGCCAACGTAGGTTGGCAAACATAACGTGTTTGGCAAGTGCAACAGAACACCGGCCCTCCAGCTGTGCTTTAACTAAAAATCCCAACATGCCTCTGCCTATGGGAGTCATGCCTGTAACTGTCAGTCTTGTAATGCATCCTGGGACTTGTAGTTCCACATCAGCTGGAGGGCCGGAGTTGCTCAACCCTGATTTAAACTGAACAATGCCCCAGATGTTCTCTAGTTCATAAAGGTAAGCTAAACACATCAAGAAATGATTTTCGGCCCCTTTTTTGGGGATAAAATGTTACAATTTGCAGTTATTACTATAATGTTACTAAACTGCTAAAACCTTTTTCTTTATTTACATGTGGCCCCCATAAACATTAATTCCACTCATTTCAGTGTGACCTGTCTGGCCTAGACATTTGGTCTCGTGGCCTCTATTAAATAGTAGGTTTAGTGTAAAGACTGGCTGATGCTACATTTCATCAGAGATCATGTGACCAAAGGTTTGGTCATGTGACCAGCGCTGGAAAGCATGGAGCAAACATTTCTGCAGAAAACATTTTCACCCTTCAAATTCTCTTTATGTATAAATCCCAGCTAGACTTCTACGCCTGAGCTAAAGTGAATCTAAAGCTAAAGTGGTGTGGGGTACTTACCCTTATTATTTTGTCCTGATGACCGCTGTCAACAGGAATGAACCTTAAGGATATGCCAACATTTTGATTTGTCTCAATATCAAACGTAGAGGGAGCATCTTCCAATGGGGACATTTGTTCTGGTGACAATTGTCTAAGGGCTTGTTCACACCAGCAGCCACGCTCATTCACACGGCTGCTGGTGTGCATGTACCTGTAATAGAGCTAATGCGCCCAATTGAGCCGCATCGCACTTTCTTTTTTTTTTAGAACTTTATTGAAATGTCACAACGGCTCACCACGGTGCAATGCAGTTATACCACGTCTCACTGCGATGCGCTTAAAAAAAAAAAAAGAAAGGTACTGCATACCATAATGCAATGGTGTAAACTGTCACCATCCATGACGAGGCAAATTGCCTTGACTTGGGTCCAGGCTGTGCTGGAAATAATGGCCAGTGCAGCCCAAATGCAGATGGTGTGAATGGGCCCTAAGAGAGGATTTCCTTTATTTTGGAGTAGTCTCCTCTTACTTCTTGTTGATGGTAAAAATGACAAATTCTTACTCTGTTCAAAATGAAAAAAAACCAAAACATTTTAGATACACTTTGGCAATTGACAACAGGTTAAAAAATTATTTCTGGGGCCAAAATAATATTTGTATATTGGATAGAGTTGGGAATGGTTAGAAACACTGGAGTTTTTATTTTGCTATATCCTGGAGATACAACAGGAAGTGAGCAGAAATTACATTTGCTTTCCCTGTTTCCTCCTCCTCCCCCCTCATAAATATAATAATGCATTTTCAAATAAAAGCTTTTATTTTTGAATGCCGACATCATTCCAGCTAGGAAATGAGGTGGGCTCTATCTGCAGCTTCTAATGTACATTATGAGAGGCTCACAGCGTGCAGTGAAATCAGAGTATGCAATTTCAGTACATTAGAGGAGCCGGTACAACTGTGCGAGACAGAAGGGAAGGCCGGAGTTCAGCTTTAAGTGAGAGGAAGTCCCCTCTTAGACAGTTGTCACCAGAATAGGTGTCCTCATTGGATGATTTCCCCATACCTGTCAATTGTCCTGTTGACCGGGGGTCAAAACTCTAGATTTTTCATCACTTATTGTCCCAGTGGCAAAGGACATCAGTACAAATAGAGAGGGGGCTAATGGACCCAGCAGAGGGAACAGACAACAATAAAAACCTGACAAAGGTTCAAACCTTTTACTTTAAATGCAAAGAAGAAGAAAAAATGGCAGTATATAATATAACTTCACCGTCTCTTAAAAAATGTCAATTTACAAGTGGGTGAGCAATCTCAGGAAACTGGTCAGCCTTTTTGCATAATAATATAATAATGGAATATTTAAGTTATACATTTACTAATAACTGATGACATCACCACAAGATGAGGCGTTGCATAGAACTTGAGCACCTAGTTCCTACCCAGACACCATGCCCATGCGTCAGGCACACTGATCCCCACCCCTTTCCCTACAAGGCTGTATACCCCCCTTGTGCAGGTAGCAGCACCACTTTTTGAACACACAAATCTCACCCTATAAACAAAAACACTAGAAATTCACAATCTGCAAAATCGGAATATAAAAGGCTAGCAGCGTCACGTTTCTCCTACATTACAATGAGACAGCTAAATGCTGATCCTAGGACAGTAGTTAATAATCCTTAAAGAACAGATTAACATTTTACAGTACATAGTATAAACATTTTAAAAATAATCTATGCAAAAAACCTAAAAGAAATAAATTATATGCGTATACATCTGAATGCTTCTCGGTAAAATGCACAATCTTTAATTTACTGGATAGAAAAATAGGAGATTCCATGAAGGAGAACTTTAGTTCCCATGTTCCAGAAGTTGTTGGTTCTTGCCTCTGATGGTGGGTTGAATATCCCTTGAAGAGCCACATGCAGTAAAAGACTGTAGATGACATCTGCAATATATACTAGGTTATCCGGGTGCATAAAGAAATTATTTGCATGGCTCCGCCCACTGCCCTTAAATGCAGAATAAAATAATTTTCACTTTATCAATCTGATACAGTTTTTGATATTTACTACAGAGTTACTCTTAACCCTTGCAGTGGGGTTAATCCCATGCACAACAAGGGTTAAGTGCTCAAATTTGTCCAGGTTCAAAAATAAAATAAAAATGTACTCACCCGATCTTCCGTGCCACCTTGCGCCCCCTCCGCTGCAGCAGTCTAAGGTCCCCAAGTCATCATGTTCTATACACAGTGTATAGGATGTGAGGATGCCAAGGGACAGACTGTACCATCACTGTAGCGGAGGAGGAGACGGACAGGAGGGAGAGCTGTCACAGCCAGCCAGATCTAAGGTTTGGATGAATATAACTTTTTTTTTTTAACCTAGACAGAAATGAGCCCCTAACCCTTGTGTGTGTGTGTGCGCGTGTGTGTACCCCCACTGCAAGCGTTACTACCCCATTACCCGGAGTTCTTCTTTACACAAGAGAATAAAAAAAAGAAAGCTATTGACAGGTATAAAGTGCAGGCACCTGCAGGCTTTTACTGCCTTTGCTCCATCAAGTGTCAGAGTTGTTCTGATTGGGCAAAGCTTCAGAACTTCCTGGTAGTGTCAAAGCTTGCCCACCTCTTCCGCCCATCACATATCCCTACTGGCCAGTGATGCAAGTCACTATAGGATTGGGCCAATAGGAATGTGGGCGACAGGGAGCAAGCAAGCTCAGACACCATAGGGAACGCTTAAAACTTTGCCCGATCAGAGCCGACCAGCTTTTAGTCAGATGCCAACTCTTTCTACCTATCAGCAGTTTTTTTCTCGTTAAAACAAAATAATGGGTGCAGCCATTTTGCAATACAATGATGATAAAAAAAGCTCCCAATGAGGCAAAAAAAAGAAAAAAGGTGCTTTAATTGTACACAGTTGACAGGTACTCTTGAACAGTACACATTTTGAGAACTGTGTGTGTTTTTTTCCCTTTATCCTTTGTACAATACTCCATATCAAGCTTAAAAAAAGCCCAACTCTGAGCGTTCACCTGGAGGTGCAACTTCTCCTCATCCCCAGCTTGGGCTACAATACTCACTTCCCCACAGTAAATGCTTTTAGTCACTAGATGTCCTCAGTCTTCTGGGTTCAAAGGACGCCCAGCATCATTAAACCTGGAAGACTGAGGACATCCTGCTTAGGCGGTCATGGACCGGCCCCTGAGGGAGTATTACCACCACATACAGTGATGCAAAGTGCAGCACCCTTTAAATTATGGAGGACTGCCCAGTGTTGGGTGAAGATTTTAAGAGGAAGAGGACCCTACCCCAAAAAAAAGAAAAAAGTTTCCAGATTAGGGAATGTTTGGGTGACTGGGAGGATGAGCCTGGAATTGGGCATTAAATAAAGCAGAGGACAAGACCAATATTGATGTGAAAAGTGTGGTAACTCATAGCAAGCAGATATCAGCTCTCTGAAGGTACAGAGAAGAATTCCAATTGGTTGCTATGGATTACTGAACATTGCATATCCCCACAGCCTTTTTTGCCGCTTGTGGTAACACGGTTGGAGTAACTGGCCATACTGGAAATTACAGAGAAACTTCCGTTATTGTAAACGCGAACATTGTAAACAAAGGTACTGACGTCTCATCTGCCCCGCTGCAATCGCTTTATGTCCGCATGTCTTTTTGGTCAAACACAATGCGGTTTGCTAGGTAAATGGCAAAAACTCCAAAAATGACTGACGATGCAATGTAGACGGTGACATTTTCCATCAGCTGTACCACCATCCCCATGAAGAGGGACGGGAAGACCTGAGAGAGGAGGAATGTGCTGTCGAGTGTGGCAAAATCCAGGCCAATGCCACGTTTGGTGTAAACATCTTTACAAGTGTCGCCCGTGCCATCGGGACTCTGGTTATTGTTGTTTGTTGGGCAGTGATGGCGTTCCTGGGAATGGATGTAGATCTCCAGTTCTTGAGAAAGGTAGCCACCATCTTTGTTGTGCCCTGGCTCTTTGTGCTTATAAGTACCATTCTGGTGACTGTGTGGCAAGTTGGGTGAAAAGCAGACCGCTTCTTTGGTAAGGATATTCCCATTGTGGGTGTGTGGCACCTCGGGTCTTGGCATAAAAACCTACGGAGAGGCAAAATTATATTTTATATATATTTTAAAGGAAATATGTAGTGCTTTCAAAGTGGACCTGTACTATCTCAGACATTACTGAAGTCAATAGATCAGGTTCCTTTTAAGTCAAGACTGCAGGAACAGCAGTTTTATCCATGCCCTGACACAGGTAGAGAGAGATCTCTCAGATCACATGAGAAGACTGGGATCTTAGGTATTCTCTGAAAGCTAGATTGAATGGGCAATATGGAGCAGACTGTTCTTTACACGTAAAACACCCTTTTTGTTATATATTGTGCATGTATACACCCATATACACACAGACATAGAAACATACACCAATCAGCCATAACATCATAACCACCTATTGAGTATGCCCTCCTTTTACCACCGAAACAGCCCTGACCCTTTGAGGTATGGACTCCAGTAGACCTCTGAAGGTACGCTGTGGCATATGGCACCAAGCCCTTAGTAGCAGATCCTTTAAGTCCTGTAAGTTGTGAGGTGGGGCCTCCATGGATCAGATTTGTTATTCCAGCACATCCCACAGATGCCCGACTGGTTTGAGATCTGGAGAATTTGCAGCTCAAGTCAACACCTCAAACTCTGACCACTGCAGACCAGGAACATCCCACAAGAGCTGCGGTTTTGGAGTTGCCCTGACCCAGTCGTCCAGTCATTACAATTTGGCCCTTGTCAAAGTCACTCAAATCCTTACACTTGCCCATTTTTTCTACTTCCAACACATCAACTTCAGGGACAAAATGTTTACTTGCTGCCCAATATATCCAGCCCACTTCCAGGTGCCATTGTAATGAAATAGTCAATGTTATTTACTTCACCTCACAGTGGTGATAATGTTATGGCTGATCGGTGTATACACATAAATATACAATATAAAAGACATTTTAGACAATTGTGCGCTTCCAACCTTGTGGTAACAGTTTGGTAAGGGCCTTTTCTGTTCCAGAATGACTGCGCCTCTGTGCACAAAGCCAGCTCCATAAAGACATAGTTTCAGGAGTTTGGTTTGGAGGAATTTGAGTGGCCTACACCGAGCCCTGACCTCAACCCTACTGACCAGCTTTGGGATGAATCGCCAACTCCAAACTAAGTCTTCTCAATCACCATCAGTACCTGACCTCCCCAATGTTCTTTTGGCTCAATGGACACACATTCCCCAAAATCTTGAGGAAGCCTTCCCAGGAGTATGGAAGCTGTTATAGCTGCAAAGAGGGCATACATCAAATGAATGCCCATTTTTGTAAATTGGCTGTCCAATAAGCTCATATTGGTGTGGTGGTTGAGTTCCACGGCCTTTGGCCATATAATGTAGGTATTAACAGGTCCATAATTCAAATATTAGAAGTACTAGTAATAACCCTGTGAGGGCTTCATGCAGTACTGAGGCATATATGAAACTTCAGGGACAGTCAAAGACTTTGGGAGATCCAGGGAGACTCAGTAGTCAGATCCCGTGACAGGTCATGTGACATGAGATACTGTGAATTACAGTTCTATGAAAGCCCTCACAACCAATCTCCCATGCAGCTGACTGGGCTCTGACCTCACACAGCTCTCTTGCTGCAAAGAAAAGTCAGAAGTAATTCAGTAAAGCTTGAGGACCCCACTAGTGGTGCCAATGTTTGAAGGGGAAGCACTTGAGGAGAATTATAAAATTACTTTACACTCTCTAGCTGGAAAATCTAATTGAAGTTCCCTTTTATTACTTACATCTTTTTCCTTGTGATAGAGACATATTAAGGTGTACGGAAGCGTCTGGAGTGTAGCGTACGCGAATCCAGTAAGTGAAGACATGATGGTAACGATGACAATGTTTTGGGACAGGCAGATGACCAGGGCGGAGGAGGTGAAGGTGATCATGCTGTACAGGTAGACTTGCCGCGACCCAAACTGCTTGGCCAGTTTGTTGATGATCATGGAGAAGAAGGTCGCTGTCGCGCACTGGAGGAAAAGCCCGAGACTTCCCATACGGATTCCTGAAAGAGAACACTCCGCTTTGTCACAATTTATCATCTTAAGCAGACGGCCTTTAAAAGTCACAGGCATACTATTACGCACATTTTAAAAAACACATTTATAACTAATTAACTATACACGTTATTTAGAATACATATTAAAGAATCTTTTTGTACTTTTTTTTATATATAGATGTAACTGTTCAGTGCCACAATGAACAAAAGGTAAAATAATGATTCATTTTTAGGGATGGTGATGAAGAAATGTGGATTAAAATGACCTGTACTACATTATCTTGGTGGTTATTTGTAGCAATTGGAGATCAAAGGATGTGTGCCCTGGGGGAGTTTTAACTTGTCAAGACTTTGGCAAGTCAAGACTTTGGAAGCAACCTTAGAGGAAAAGGGAAGATAAATACACACAGCTAGTGCTGGTATTTAATACTAGAGATCACAGTAGTCCTCCTGAGTCCTGACAATGCCTTCAGCAGTTTTCCTTTTGCAGAAGCATGGCACCATCTTTGTTTAGGCATTATCCACGTTCACAATCTACTTCCTAGACTGAGATGCTGGCTCAGAGAAGACACATTAAATGTAAATCCTGGTACCTGTGCAGTTCTTGGCTTTGTTTATGAATGGCTTACACAGATCAGCCCCTAACCTTGTGGCTGGCTACAAAGTTACAATGTACAACCTGATCACTGGGGGAGAGGAGACTTGGGAAATACTATCTCCTTCATGCAGCAGACTAATGACATCATCTCATCCTAGTCATTGGGTTGTAGCTCAAGGATGACTAATGATAACCGTTGGAGCTTTTCTGAAATGTTATATTTTTGCTGTACATTTTGACATATCAGGAATTCATTCAGGCAGACTTGCACAGTTACTGAAATGCCACTTTAAAGAAGTACGGGCAAAGTATGAGTTCACGAGTTTAAGATGCTATACTTATTAGATACATTAGAAATGCACCAAAGATGTGGTGAGAGTAGGGATGGAATGGGATGTGACGTTCTATCCATCTTAGGTTTTGAATAATCATTTTATTTGACTTATGTCATTTATTTGGCGCCTGTACAATCCTATCTCTTTAATAATAGACCTCACCCAGAACACTAAAGAACACAGCCTTCTCCTCATTGGCAGACAGGCCACGCCTTGAAATAACACCATCCATAAAGTGGCATTTTATCCAGCAATGGCAGCTAATGTCTGCTGGTATGAAGTGGGTACAGAGTGGCTCATTTAGCTTTTATATATAGACTGCGCGGAGTGGAGGGATCCCGAGCTTGTCAGCTGTTCCCTCTATATCACATACATATAAATACTTTGTTACTGTCGCAGAGAATCTCCTCAGAATTTGGGACCAGGATTACCCCGTAACATAACGGAATTAATGAGTTAAAGAACTGGCATCCATGAATCCTGGCATTTCCACTGAGCCATAAGGGTCAGTCCACCAAGAATGTATTTTCCAGTTATTGGTAGACACTGAAGAGTTAAGCAACATGAACGTTTCTTATATCTGTAAGGGGTTATACAGTATTGGGGAAATCTCTGGGCTGGTTTCTATGTCTGCACACCTGCTGTGCCCATTAAGAGGGGTTCCCTCTCTCTGTTGGATTCTCTTTGTTGTAACTGGAAAAGCTGGAACATCTAAAACTCTGAAACTCCCAGGAAGACAGAACCAGAGTCCAGAATTATGGCAGGAACATCTTGCTGCAGGAGTATCAAAGTTATTTTAGAAGTCAAAGACTGATTCAGCATGCCCTGCAACACTTGGATTTTGCTTCACACATGACAGGTTCACTTTAAGGGTGACAATGTAGAGATATTGACATTTTTCTTTTTTTTTTGTTTCTTAAGTTTTGTGAAAAGAAAAATACAAGGTTCAACCAAAGTGAAATGTCTCCATTGGGTCCACTGTGATTGAATCATATTCATAATAGATTAAGTTTACTTTTCAGATGAGCTACCACTGCCACCAGGTAAAAAGATTCTCCTCTGGAGTGGAGAATCCACTAAACCACAGTAAGCTAATGCAGATGATTCAACATCTTCAAGTAGATCATGGGAATGCAGGGTCAGGGATGTAGCTCCATCTCTCAGTGGCAGTCCGCATGTAATCATACATGATGCGAATATATGCGGTTTGGGATAGATCATTGTTGCTGGGCACAGGATAGATGCATCCTGGGGCAATCATCTATCTCAAACCTCATGTAATCGTATTGTGTACAATTACATGCGGACTGCCATTGGCAGATGCGGCTGCTGTCACCCTGTCACTAAAATTAATGGGTACATTGGCAGCATCTGAATGGGGAGAAACCTGGGATTCCCGCCGCAGGAATCTGTGGGCAATTTAACTCATTTCAATTTCAATTGCTACCATATTAGCTAATTTTTTTCCAGAATCTAGCAGAATGTATGATCAGACGTTTCATTACCTTCATCGTAACGGATTCTCGATTCAGTTCCTGGCGCAGCACTTGGAATCCCTTTATATAATCCTTCTCCGACAAAGTCTGTGTAGAAGAGCATGAAAGACATGACTGCCATCCAGCTACACAACTGGGCAGCACACAATTGTTTCATGACAGCAGGGATACGACAGTAACTATGATAGATCCTGGGGGTCACAGACCAGCAGAGGCTCAGCAGGCATAGGATGGGGTTGCATTTCCAGGATCGCAGCTTCCATTTTGGTATACAGCATCCTCTGGTGAAGGACTTTGACGTGACGGAAGGTTTGAGGTCCAGAGCCGGCTGTCGCCTGTGGCTATGTTCCTCCACAGTCTTCATAGTGACTAGGACACTTACAATAAATATTAGAATTAACAACAAAAACAGGCACTCGTCTTGCCCACCGAGGTAAAAAGACATGTATGTGTAATTCCAGTTTACAGAGGTCAGCAAATACCCAATACAGCCACCAATGCTGATCATGAAGGAGAACATGGCGAAGGCTTGGCCGCAGCCTTCGTCGTCATGGTACAAGTCAGACAAAAGAGCTTCCAGTGGTGTAAAGCAGACTTGAACGCAGCAGTCTAACAATCCCACCCCGAAAATGAGGAAGAAAATATGGACGTGGTTTCCACCGTAGGAAAAGTAGGAAGCCAGGGAGTCAGCGTGTGGAATGATAATGAGTGAGAGGAGGACACCAAGGGATAATATCCAGATGAACGGACGTCTTCCACCATAGTTGCTTTGGCAGTTGTCGCTAGCTGATCCAATGAGGGGCATGAGGATTAAACCAAGGACGGGACCTATACCTGCCAGAGACAAAGAGTAAATAAAGTGTTATAATTACAAGGTAAAGGTTTGAAATAATGGAGTGGTGACCCCAACCTTCTGCATTACTACAGCCTACAAAGAGCATTCAACACACTTTTGGACATGTTGAATACCCGGGTCCCCCCGTTGAGGGCTGTGATTGTACCCGCCAACCACTACGTCACTTTAGCCTTGAGGGGACACTGTAATGATGGTGAATAGCGGGGGGAACCCCAGTGAGCAACAGGGATGCAGCCATCTGGCATGCCCAGAGGTGTGTCGGATGCCGAAGATTCCTTTGTCAATATTAAATCTCCACCCACTGGAGATTAATTTTAGAAAAATCAGTATACAAGGAAGATTAAACCCAAATATATGAACCATGTTACTTGGGATCCAGAGTTCACAATATTTGTCAAGTACCTAAAGCCCAACTCTAGCTAAAATGTTTTCCAGTTATTAATACTTTATAACACACACAGGGACCATGGGGAACAAAAGTAGCCACCCTCCAGAAGGAAGGAGAGTGTCGGCACCAATTCAGAGATGATTTGAGGATCTACAGCCGAGTGATACACAAATAAGATACATTTTTGGTAATAGTTAAGGCTAAGAATGCATTTTTAAGATTTAACTCCCGAGTTTAGTGTCATTTTAAAGTGAACTCAGGTTAACTTTAAACTGAAAAGAAGAAATATGGTTGGAAGGCACACAAGAAATATTCTTCCTTCAGATACTTCTGTACACAAGTCCACTTTTGTTGTTTGGTAGGAAGAAAAAACAGAGGCTTATTCTTACCCAAGACCATTGTCATGTACTGCTCCTGCACACCAGCTTCCAGAAGTAATGGGGGAACATAGGTGATCCCAGCTGCCACACAGATTTCAAGGCCGCAAGTCATGAAGTTTAGCAGGACAAGGTGCCACTGCAAGCTGCAGGTCATGGTGGTGGAGAGAAGTATCCTTATTCACTCCAGAGTCTAGTGCAGATTGTTTAGCTGGTTATGTGATCTGGATTGGGAACCCGCATTATCCTGCTGAGCGACCTTTGATGTTACTGGCTCCATTTGTTCCTGCTGGGCCCCATACTCAGTAAAATAAACTACAAATGAAAAAAAAGGTAAAGTCATGTAAACATGATTACTCTAGATAAAGCTCTGGGAAATATTTTTACTCCTGGGATACGAAGCACTATGTTTTTTTTTCCTTTTGGAAATGCAGTCTGTCATCATGTACAGTAACCAGGTAAAGATCCAGTTGTGTTGTTTTTAATAGATTGAATTTCCATGTCAGCCAATTCACAATACAAATTGTTTTCTTTGTGACCAACCTACAGCTCAAAGGCGGCATGTGGTCCTTCGGTTCTTACTGTGGGGCCCTCAGCTCCTTAGTCTCTGAACATCTTGTGTTGCATCACCACAGTCTGTAGCCTTTCATACACTAAATATGATGTGAAGCCTTTGGTGGTGTCAGGGAACACACTTTGAATCCACCATATCTAACATAGGTTGTCCACCACCATTTTTAAGGGGTCGAACACCAGAGAGTTATTTTAAAGGTACGAAGCTGTCACAGGTTCCAGTTAAAGTGTAACTGAACCCACCAATTTAACTATTTCCAAAAGAAAGCTCTATCTAGAAATGCTTAGTACTTCTTGGTATGCAGGAGTATGTGATTCACCCAATGTGATAGCTCTGGGTCAATAAAGAATTTCCAGCCTACATAGTCATAACGATGGCCATGCTTCTGCCAGTACGGCTTCAAGGATAGCACAACCAAACAGGCCCCACTGCTAAATCAGAGTAGGGGTACCATCAGGTACTTCCGTTAGGTATCCCACCTTATAAATGTAGTCACAGACTATTTAGTTGTAGTGGTACCAGGTTTATAACAGCATAAATTATGTATATCCCTTTGTTTTTGGGTTTGCATTAGACATGAAGGCTGCGGAAAAATTTGCTTCAGTTATGTCGGGATTCGGATCCGAAATTCAATTCGGTTCGGGTTTTGGATTTAGATGAAATCTGAATTTTTGTTAGTTTCGGATGAGTCTATGAATATACCATAGAAAACCATATAGAGATATTAATACTAAAGCTGAAGCACCTAGACCCAAATGGCATTCAGGAGTTCGAATTTCCGAATACCATTCGGGAGCTCCAGAAAGTAATACGGGTCTGGGAGCCATATTAATGCGGAGGCTTTCAGACCCAAATGGCATTCGGGAGCTCTCAAATGCTATTCGGAAATTCAGACTCCATGTGGGTCTTGGAGCATGAGTTTTAGTATTATGTATATGCAGTATAAGTAGTATTCTCTAATACGAACGAATATTCGTAGCGGCAACATTGTGACCCATATATACATGAAACTAAATCTGAGGCTCCCAGACCCAAATGGAATTTGGAAGCTCCCGAATCCGGTTTTGAAAATTCGGATTCAGACCCATTCGGATGCATTAAACCAAAAAACACATCTGATTGGCCAGTAAAGTCACATGTCCGATTTAATTTAGTTTTTGAACGAAATTCGTACGGGATGCGAAATTTGGAAACGGAAATTCCGATGCATTTGGATGATTTGGGATGCGGAAGTGTCCGAATTTCGGAAAATTTGTTTCGCACATGTCTAGTTTGCATAGCTCTAGCAGCGCATCATCTGCTCTGGGAGGACAGCAGATCTACAGTGTTAAAATGTTATAAATCCTCTCGTTTTACACGTGTGCTGATCGTGTAAAGAAACTCCTGGGAGAGAGAGAAAAAAAAATTGGCGTCTCTCCGCTGGAAAGGCTATACACCCTACTTATCTTTCATATGTACAGGATAGATTCTCCAGGAATTTACAGGATCTTGTAACACATGAAAAAAGCACATTAAGGGTCAGGGACTATTTTGTGCCTAAAGCTGTCCATACAAGTAACAACAACAACTGATCATTTACAGTTCCAAACTATTTTTTGTGTAAAAAGATATTTTGATGCAACAAAAAGTTCTAGTTGGTTAAATACTAACGGACATTTCACAAGGAGCCGTCATTCAATTACTGATCACACTCACCATTCAACGCAGTTGATTTTTTTTTAAGGTATGATTCTTATATTGAAACAGTTGTTATATTGAACAATTGCATTGCGAGTAGTCACATGGCTAGGAACCCGGGACTGACCATTTGTTTTACTGTGTTATGTATGAAAAGTGACAGTTGATGTCTGACAGTTCCTATAGGTCAGGGGTCTCAAACCTCCGGCCCTCCAGCTGTGGTGGAACTACAAATCCCATGAGGCATTGCAAGATTCTCACAGCTACAGACATTACTCCCGAAAAGAGATGCATCATGGGATTTGTAGTTTCACCACAGCTGGAGGGCCAGAGGTTTGAGAACCCTGCTATAGGTAAAGCAAGCTATGGGCATTAGAAGTGTTTGACTGTCTATCCAAAGTCAATGGCACAAGCCGATACTCCTAGTCCAGGAGTGGGTTTATCTTCAAATCCCAACATGCATCAGCCTCTGAGGGCCATGCCTGTAACTGTCAGCCTTGCAATGCCTTGTGGGATTTGTATTTCCACAACAGTTGAAGGGTCGGAGTTGCCCACCCCTGTCCTAATCAACCTGCCATGGGTGTAGATTCACTGAAAAGATTTGAAAATGCTGTCTTATCACTATTGCTCCCCCTGAGGTACGCCATCACCTCCTCCCTACCATTCCCCCCTTGCCCTCTCCTATCTGAATCAAGTTTTTTCTCTAACATTTCACAATATTTTGTTGCACTCTTTCCACCACTGGCACAAAATTTCCAGCTGGCGACTAACTTTTTAGGTTTTCTCTAGCTGTCTAGATGGAGTCGCTTCCTAAAAAATCCTTCAGGCTCCTGGATTCCATAATAAATGATCTATTATATAGCATATATTATTTTTTTACTTCACTTCAGGTAAAAAAAACAAACACTCTTGCACATGGACTACCCAGGTGCTGCAAGCGTTAAGTGCTCATTTTGTCTAGGGGACTCAAATAAAGCAGATATACTCACCTGATCCTCGGTCCAACGGCGGTCAGCACTGCTCCAGCTATGGAATATATGTCTAATGCAGGTCAGTGGACCTGCAATAACCATAATGACATCAGCCGTCCTTAGACTGCCAGGGTAGACGAGGCTACAGGGACCGGTCTAGCACCTCGGAAGGAGCCGGCAGGACCGAGTATCAGGTGAGTAATACAGTTTTATTAAAGCCCCCTAGGCAAAATAAGCACTTAACCATTGCAGTGCGGGGATAGCCCCACTACAAGGGTAAGTTTATGGTTTGCCTGGAGTTCTTTAAAGGGAAAGTAGGGGGCCTTTGGAGTGTGCAGATTTACATAATATACCGTCTAATGTAACAATTTGACAATGCAACAAACCTGCAGAGAATTTAAATTTCAATCTTATGTTTATTTGCTTTAATATGAATAAACTCGCTGAGCTCATTTCTGGACCCCCGCCAGAGCATTAATGCTGTTGATTGTTACAAGACGTAAAAGTATCTATAAGCTTTCCTTTATTTGATTCCTGCCAGAATGTTAGCCGCGGCTAATGTGTCTTCTGGGCATAGAGCGACTGACTGCGGGATCTGTAATGCATTAAGTCATGTCCTTGAAGTCAGACAAGAAACCTTTACAAGCAAGGAAACAATCTTGACGAGCAATGTGTCATAAACATCGGGAATAATGACTCTATTTAAAGATGAAGTCTTCTTTCTGTACTACAACTAGTCCATGTGTCTTATTTTGCAGCATGTCTGATATAGTTGTGGACCTAAAGGTGATGTATTGTAGGTAAAAGGATGTGAATGGACACAGGTCTGTTTACATGTACCTGACCCTTAGGGCTGGTTCACACCATCTCCAGTGCGTTGCGGCACGGTTAGTGGCTGGAACGCACTGGATCTCATAGTGGAAGCTTCCCTGCGTTCTAGGGCAGGAGGGGGCATGGCGGTGCCATTCAAGTCAAAGTGCCATTGACTTGAATGGCACCCCCACGTCCCCTCCCGCCCCAGAACGCAGGGAGGGTTCCACTGTGCAATCCAGTGCGTTACGGCCACTAGCCATGCCGGAACGCACTAAAGATGGTGTGAACCAGCCTTTAGACCTAACATGGGTCTGTTTAGTACATCCGCCTGCCCATAGACCTAACAAGGGTCCTTTTAGTTCAGTGGAGGAAAAAAACTGGGAGGTCGCAAAAATGATCTAGGCACGGATCCCATACTGATCGGAACAGATGGGCACCCATGTGAAATGGGCCTAATTGACCCAGATATTTGATATGCTTGGGGTTGGGAGCTGCTCCACACCTAAGGATTTCCACTATCTTCTTGGTTTGTAATAGAGATAAAACAGGGATATGTAACAGAGATTGAACACAGAGTCTGTCAGGCTCTAACAAACTAAAAACCTGGTGGAAAAATGCAAAGCTTGTACTGATTTTTACTTTAATTTCAGGTCACTACCTCTCTTCTAGCCCCTGATGAAGAAGGCTCTCTGACCCAGAAACGTGTAGGCCTTGTGATAGTCTTTCATTGCAATACATTTTTATCTGGACAATTTAATTTCAGTGTAAACACAAAAAGCTGACAGAGGTTCGACCATTCCCCTACCTAACCTAAAAAAAGTAGTCCGGTGGACTACAGAAAGTGAAGGAACCTCTGCAGTGGCAGTTAAAAGTTGACAGGACTTCTAAAGCTGGCCATACACTGTTATATGTTCTTTGTTCAACCTGCGGGCTGAACGAAGCAGTTAGAACAGATTCCTCCATCAATGCTTATGAGCGTGGATGAAGGAATCCCACTGCTGCTTTCACTGTATTCTGACAGTGGCCACTGTCAGAATACCCCGACGAAGCCTGCAGCTGATTGACTGCAAACTCCGTTCAGCAGAATATTTTCCAAACGGCAGGAAGGGTGCCGACTTTATACTTCCCCAATCTATCCCAGACTAAGAAAACAAACAAAACACCATTTGGACTATAGATACATTTTAAAGAACTCTGGGCAGAATTATTCTGAACCCTTGCAGTGGGGCTACTCCTGTACTGCAAGGGTTAAGTGCTTGTTTTCATCCAGGGAGGAATAT